GAGTGAGAGAGTGAATGGTTGTTTGTCTCGTTTGTCTCTATGTGGCCTACAAACGGCTGAAATTAGTTTTCTCCGCAGGGTGTCTGGGCTCTCCCTTAGAGACAGGGTGAGAAGCTCGATCATCCGGGAGAGACTCAGAGTAGAGCCGCTACTTTTCCACGTCGAGAGGAGCCAGTTGAGGTGGCCCGGGCATCTGTCTAGGATGCCTCCTGGACGCCTCCCAAGTGAGGTGTTCCGGACACGTCCCACCGGGAGGAGACCCAGGACACGCTGGAGGGACCATGTTTCCCGGCTGGCCTGGGAACGCTTCGGGATTCCCCTGGAGGAGCTGGACCAAGTGGCTGGGGAGAGGGAAGTCTGGGCCTCCCTACTTAGGCTGCTACCCCCACGACCCGACCCCAGATAAGCGGAAGAAAATGGATGGATGGATATATATTAAGGAACTCAGTGTCCCTTGCCCGAACGTGGGTTACCGGGGCCCCACCCTAGAGCCAGGCCTGGGGGGGGGGGGCTCGTCAACGAGCGCCTGGTGATGGGGTCTTTACCCATGGGGCCTGATCGGGCTCAGCCTGAATGACCAACATGGGTTTGCCTTCCTGTGGGCCCACCATCTGCAGGAGGAGCCACAAATGTTGTGTGCATGACGCCATGGGCAGTGGCCAAAGGCAAGGGCCTTGGTGCTCTGACCCTGGCTTACCAAAGCTGGCTCTTGGGACATGGAATGTAACTTCTCTGGTGGAGAAGGAGCCTGAGCTTGTACATGAGGTTGAGAGGCTCCGACTAGATATAGTTGGGCTCACCTCGATGCACAGCATGGGCTCTGGAACCAATCTCCTTGAGAGGGGCTGGACCTTATTCCACTCTGGAGTTGCAAATGGTGAGAGGCACCGAGCTGGTGTGGGTCCACTCTTAGCCCCTCATCTTGGTGCCTGTGTGTTGGAGTTTTCCCAGGTAGATGAGTGGGTAGCTTCACTGTGCCTTCTGGTGGGGGGACGGGATCGGACTGTTGTTTGTGCCTATGCACCAAACGGCAGTTCAGAGTGTCTGGCCTTGTTGGAGTCCTTGGCGGGGGTGCTGGAAGGTGCACCAGCTGGGGACTCCTTTATTCTGCTGAGGGACTTCAATGCCCATTTGGGTAATGACAGTGTGACCTGGAGGTGCGTGATTGGGAGGACTGGCCTCTCTGATCTGAACTCTAGTGGTATTCTGTTGTTGGACTTCTGTGTTAGTCATATCCTGATGCATGCTCAATAATCCAGGTGTGTTAGTCATAGTTTGTTCATCACAAACATCATGTTTGAACATAAAGGTGTCGGGTAAATGTTTTTTTTTCTTTCTGAAAAATGCTTTTATAACACAGCTAAAAAAAAAGTACCGGTAGTCAACCAAAAGTCACTCATCGCTATGTTCTTCGTCCTGTGAACTAAAGTTCTCTTTGAGGCTCAGAAAAACGTCATCACACAACACTTCCTTGTCGCAGCTGTTTCCTCCTTCGATAGCCAGATCAATTGCTTTTAACTTGAAAGCTGCATCATAAGAAATTCTCTGTGCGTTTTCCATTATGACTGAACAGATGAACAGGTCTGTGCATTAAAAACAAACAAACAAACACAAATTAGTTGCTCCTGCATATAAACCATGGGGTACAAAGTGTGAGAAAAAAGTAGTGGCTTGTACACCGGCAATTATGGTAAATGCCTGCAAGTGAGATTCCAGCGATGGCAAGTTGTTATTTTATTTTTATCTTCAAGCTATTCTCCTTCCTGCATGGTGTTAGTAGTGTTGATTGAATAGTAACAAAATGAGTGCATTTAGAGTGAGCTGATCCTCAGATGAAGGAGGCACCACCTACCTTCTTTGCTGTTGTAGATGATGTTCTTGCATAGCAGGTCATTGTGACAGAGTACCACAAGGGATCCCAGAGTGGACAGATGCTCCTTCATCCACAGGATCTCCTTCTCCAGGACTGCCTTGCTAGGAACCTCCTGCTGGATTCTAAACAAGGCAGGAAATTGAGAAAACGTCACCACTGCTACGCATAAGTGAACACAAAAATAGCACCACATGCAGAGGAAGTGGTAATTTTTTTCTTGTCCTCTGTGTGTGCGTGTATGTTTGTCACACATACATACAGAACATCACAAGCACAAGATTGCTGCAAGAGCAAACTGACTTTAGGAAACACAAATATAGCTATAAGTTAACGAGTTTACAAACACTGAGCTAAAATTTTGGGTAGTAGTAGTGAAGAGTCATCAGTTGAAGACCACGAGGAGGGAAATGTGTTGGGAGACAAAGGGAGAAAAAAGAATCTAGGATGGAGGGTGGGAACTCTAAATGTGGGAACAATGACAGGCAAAGGTAGAGAGCTGGCTGACATGATGCAGAGAAGGAAGATAGAGGTTTTATGTGTCCAAGAGACCAAGTCGAAGGGCAGCAAGACTTGCAGTGTTGGAGCAGGGTTTAACCTGTTTTATCATGGTTTGTATAGAAAGAGAAATGGAGTAGGGGTGGTGCTGAAGGAGGAGTTAGCAAAGAATGTAGTAGAGGTGAAATGAATGTCAGATAAGGTGATGGGTCAATAGACCATAGATCATAGATAGGTAGAAGTAGAAAGCTAAATGTTGTCAGTGGTTATGTTCCACAGGTTGGATGTGACGTAGAAGAGAAAGATACATTTTAGAAAGACCTGGATGAAGTGATAGAGAGTATTCCCAGGGAGGAGAGAGTGGTGATCGGAGCAGACCTGAATGGAAATGTTGGTGAAGGAAACAGACGGGATGAGGAAGTGGGTTTTGTGTCAAGGAAATAAACTAGGAAGGACAGATGGTAGTGGATTTTGCTAAGGGAACGGAAATGGCAAACAATGTTCTAAAATCTAAATGCTCTAAGAGCACAGAATGTCATGCTCTCTGCTCTTTGCCACACCCAGTTATCCTCTGCAATCACACTCATGCTCATCACTGTGTCACTCCAAATCTCCCTCCTTCTGTGTAACACTTTAAATAATCAAGCACAACTGGAACAGAGCCTTTAGTCCCCCTCGGCAAATGGGCCAGGCCGCCAGGAAATGCCCCAGTGCTCCTGACAGCCAGTCTGCCCCAACTCCTACTGCAGCAGGTGCTCAATCATTTAAAATAATTTATTTTGTGGGCTGCGCTATTTTTTTGTGTGTGATGTGCTCTGCGCTTTTTAAGCGCTCCCCAGTCTGTCAGATTGTCTGATCACCTTGTGCCTGAAGTAATCCAGCGTTTTTGTTCCTGCTCTGCTCCTGACCCACTTCCTGCCCATGGATTCCTCTCCTTTGAAAGTCAGCTGTGACTCTGTAGAGCTCGATCACAGATGGAGAAGCCGAAACTGCAATGTCGTCAGAGGGAAAGGTTTTGACGGATCTCGTGATATGTGAGTGAGCGAAAGTCCGACAAAAACTCTCCAGAATGTGGAGCTTAGTTCTGAGAGCTCAACTCCTAGAGTCCAGGGTCTGAGTTTGTGGTAAAAAATACAGACGTGGGTCATTCAGAGGCAAGAAAGCAAAAGTTATCCGAGGGTTTTAGCTGGAATTATGTGGTCTGAAGGCAGAGCAGACATCAAGGTCGAGATATCTGATGGTCAGAAGTACCGTCTTGATCGAGGCAAAGGGGAGGAATCCGTGGTCATGAAGTGGGTCAGGAATAGAGCAGGAACAAGAACGCTGTATTACTTCAGGCATGAGGCAATCAGACAATCAGGCAGAGACTAGAGAGTGCTTAAGAAGTGACTGACCACGAGGAGCACTGGGACATTTCCCGGTGGTCTGGCCCGTTTGCTGAAGGAAACTAAAGGCTCGGTTCTGGTCACTCTTGATTATTTCAAATAAACAATCCACGCTGCTCATGCGGCATGGATTGTTTATTTAAACTATTACAGTATTTAAATTTAAATTGTTTATTTATACAGACGGAGGGAGATTGGGAGTGGCACAGGTGATGAACATAAGTGTGATTGCAGAGGAGAGGTGGGCGTGGCAGAAAGCTGCAGGAGGGAGCTGCTCCCTGCATCTGTGGGCTGTGCACAGGTGCAGCAGGTAATAAATCATTTAAAATAATTTATTTTAAATTAACAATCCCGCTTGTGTGGCTCATCCATCAATCAGCCAATCGTGTTTCATATACAAGCTTACTTAAAAAAAAAAAAACACGAAAGTGTGAGTCCACGAAAGTCGAACTGAAAAGTAGCGAGGGACTATTGTACTCTTGTATCGCACCTTTCTGTCTAATCAAGATATTCAAAGCTCTTTACAACACAATCTGTGCCCTCATTTACCTCCACACACATTCATACAGCACTCTACTACACAAAGCTAATCTGAATTAATAATTCTATAAAAACTAATCAGAGCTTTAGATCACATCCATACACTGATGGCACACATCGGAGGCAGTGAGGGGTTCAGGGTCTTGCCCAGGGACACTTCAACATGTGACTGCTGGTGGGATCGAACCCCCAACTCTCCCAATGGAGGACAACTGCTCTTACCACTGAGCCTCAGCTGCCTCAAGAAGAGTGCACAGGTCCTGGCAGCACTACAGTACATATGAGATCAATACGTGGAGCAAAGAGATCAAGCTTCACTTTCAACACTGTTCCACAAACATGTGTAATATGAAGTCCTTTTATAAAGGACGTATCAGATATTAAACTGATAAGAACAGATCATTTACAGTGGTTCCCTTAGATCAGTGGTCCCCAACCTTTATTGCGCCACGGTTTAATATCAGACTGTATTTTCACTGACCGGAGGGGGAGTCTGAGAGAATTTTGGATAAAGTAGATGCCATTTCCTACATTCTGGTGTATTTTACAAAGGTTAGACAGTAGATACAGTAGATTAACATGAAACAAAAGATGTAAACTCATTATTGAAATGACTGCAAACCGTTCGTAATGCAAAACCGCTGCAGCTCTGCAGGGAAGGGGCGTTCACTTCAGGACAAATTGAAGTTGCTGATTTGTCAGTTGCTTAAGTGTCAGTTATAAACATGAACATTAAAAGAAGCAAACATTTGAAATATATCAGTCTGTGTGTAACAAATGAATATACAAGTTTCACTTTTTGAATGGAATTGTAATGACTGGCGGAACCCAGAGTTGTACGAGACCAGGAAACAGTGTTTATTATTTACAGTGAGACAGAAAAAAAAAAAAAATTATTATATATATATATATATATATATATATATATATATACACACACACACACACTTGGAACCCCTGGAGCGTCTGGAAGAGAGAACAGGGTCAGTTGGTCCTGGTCGAGAGGAAGAGTAGATGTTGATGATTTGATTGTTTCTCTTACAGGTGGTGAACGCTGCAGCGAGAGGACTCCACGAGGGCTCCAGAGTAAAAGGGGAAACAGGCAAAGCAGATCTGGCAAGTGAGAGGCAACAAGGCAGGACTGGCAGGTGACTGGCAGGTGACTGTCAGGCAAGACAGGATCCGAGGATTCAGGATCCTGCGGACACAAAAACACAAGGTAAGTCTAATTCTCTTAGACACAATTTCAGGCTGAAGGCATAAATACCAGTTGAGGCACATTGCTCCAGCGTCGGGTCACACTGGACTGCAGCCTTAAGGAGTGCAGCTCCTCATCAGGTGGATGACCGTCAGCTGGTGTTCATTGGCGGCCATCTTGTAGAAAGCTGCAGACAGTGAGACTCCTACAGGAAGTACTGAAATAAATCAACTTTTTCACAATATTCTCATTTTATGGCCAGCACCTGTATTTCAAATGTACTTTTAATCACTTCATGTGTGATTTCTAAGTGTATTAAGTGCAGGATCATTTCTCATTTAATGAGTAGATCCCACACCGTGGTCAGCTGAGCCTCGTCCTCCTCCTCTCTGCTCCGCACTGATTCACATCAGATTGTTCACAAAAGTGCAGGAGCTTATACATAGTGCAAAACTTTAATGATATTTGTGTTTTTTAAATAAAATTGCCCATGACTTTGAACTTTTAGTTCAGTCACTCTTTGTCAGGCGAGTTGAAAAATATGCAGTGATCCTTCAAATGTGCAGACACGGCCGCACGCCTCCTCCTGTCTGCTCCAGACCACGCAGCTAAATTACTCCACCCGAACGGACACTGTAGAACCAATGTGCGCATGCGTCTAACAGAAACTGAAACTTACCACTTCTGTATGTTGACCTGCGTCAAGAGTGACTCATTGACAGGTGTGGTGGAGAGAATCCGGTGATTTTTCAAAATAAAAGTTGTTTTTCTGTGCGGCCCGGTATAAACTGACCCACGGACCGGTACCGGTCCGTACCGGTCCGCGGCCCGGTGGTTGGGACCACCGCCCTAGATAATTTGCCATGGCGGGGCGCTCATCTTGTACGTGACTTTTGTTGGGGTGGGATGGGGGGAGACACGTCTAAGCTGCGCACTGTTTGTACCGACAGTTTTTGAGCGGGGGTTCAGCGTGAGGGAAGAGGCAGAGTGAGCGCTGCCGTTAGCTTTTTAGCTAGCGCATCTATATTGCGCTATGCTAGCTAAGTCAGTGTATGTGTGTGTGTGTGTGTGTGTGTGTGGGGGGGGGGGACAGTTTGGTTCTGTTGATGGGGCGCCCCGCTTGTGGAAACACCGATTTATTGTGCAGCCAGACACTAAGGGACATTTGTTTGTTTCTGCTTCTGTTGTAGGTAAACAACATGCAAAGACTTGATCTCTCATGAAACAAACAAACAAACAAGCAAACAGACGGCACTGAATCTTTTAACAACAGCAACAATTATAGTTTATTGATGAGGTGCAGAATGTAGATCAGCTGCTCAGCATCAGAAGCCAGAAGAACCCTCACTCTTATCCTTTGTGTCACGACAGCATTTACTTGTCACTCGTACACTCGGTCAGAGAGGATGTACTGAGTCAAGGCCTCAACCCATTCACAGCATCTTTGTTTCTATCTATGTAGGTTCACCGATAAAAAGTCATGTCTTATTACACACGGCCCGATAACCAACATGCTGCTTCCCTTCACCTTCCATAGTATGTTCCTGTGTCTAGTTTACCATGCATATGATGTATGCTTCAAAGACAAGTTTAAACCTGACTGGACTGACCAGTCAAAATGTAGCCAAGATCAAAATGGATCGTCATTTCAAAGCAGCTCCAATTTTCCAAATTTCACCACCAGCGACTTTTCAATATAATTTTTTATTTTGGATTCTGTGATCGTGTCAGTGTTTCCTCTACCATTATACAAGCAGGGTACCCCACCCTGTAAACAGAACCAAGGTCCCTGCCTACCAAACACCCCTGTCGACAACTGCCGGCGCTGACCTAGTGCTAAGCTAGCTGTGTGCAATACAGACACGCTAGCTAAACAACTACAGAAAAAGGCTCAGATCCTTCACGATGAGCAACCCCCACCCCCAAAATAATAATAATGTAGGAGATGAGCGCCCTGCCAAGGCAAGTAAACTAGGGGAAACACTGCAGTGCATTTCAGACAGGACTATTTTGCCCCTTTTGCACTGCCCCTAAGCCCCAACTCTGAAAGAACCTGTTGCACCAGCACTTTGGTATTTTTAGCTGATTTGAGGCTGATTCAGGACCTCTTTTCGTCCCTGCTTCTCTGGTGGGACCGAGCGAGCTCAGTTGAGCTGAGTCCAGACCAAACGTGGATGCAGGACTCTGATTGGTCAGGGGGAGGAGTCACTGGATCTCAGAAACTTTTCACTGAGCCGCCATTTGCAATTTCTCTGGAACTTGAAGCAGCAGCTGGATCTATTTTTAAGATTTTAAAACAATAATGACAACACCGTGTTTAATTCTGAAGTCCAGGTGTTTTTTGTGTTTGGTGATCGACACAAAATTTGAGCGAGCGGTGTCACCGCGGAGGATCATACAAGCTGCCGAGCCGTTGAACCCGCGAGGCCGGACCCCGAGCCCCGGCCACAAAGGCCGGATTCAAGCCCTGGCAGGCGGGAGGACCGGGATGGAGGGAGGAAACTTTTTAAATAAACATTTTATGTATAAAAAAAAGGGTTGTTTTTTTATCAGTGAATATTAAAAATAAATAAACAGTGCTGGCTTTATCATGAAATCCTGCTTTCACTTTGACGTTATTAAATAATCTGTTAATTAAAGTTAATTCAACTGAAAAATCATAAAAAGACTAAAATTATTGGATCTGTCAGGAATATTTCCCTCCAACATATTTAAAGAAGAGACTCAGCCTTTGATTCAACTTTATTCTAACCCACACATGTACAAATCACAAAACAAGCATTACACTTTAAATTAAAGCTTTAAATCAAAGCTAAAAATAATCTGTATACAAGAAACAAAACCACAATGAGTGCAAATACATCAAATGATGAAGAAAAATATATAATTTTAAATATATACATCCTGATGCATGCTCAATAATCCAGGTAGAAAAATCTAAAAAAGTTAAGTCTGGTCCTCTGGACATTCAAAAAACAAACAAACAAAAATGTAGAAAAGTTTCTTCTTTCATCTGAAAGACTTCTTCAGTCTGAGGCGCTTATTCAGCTCAGTCTTATATAAACAGCTATGAGCTGAATAAGCTCCTCAGACTGAAGAAGTCTTTCAGATGAAAGA